CTCCTTCATCTTAAGACCCAAATCCCAAAACCGATTTTGATTGTTTAGTCGAAGTTATTTTGAACCTAAACATTATTTCACGTCTAATCAAAAATCCAAAACCACAGGTACATAGATCCCAAAAATCTAAATCAATGACACAATAATCACCTAAATCAAACATTGCCACTATTTACCCCTTTATCTTAAGACCCAAAACCGGAACTGATTCCAATCGTCTGATTAGAGTCATTTTGATCCTTAATCTCATTTCGTGTCAAATCATAAATCCAATACTATAGGTATGTAGGTCCTAGAAATCCAAGTCTGATGACACCAAGGTCACCCAAATCTAACATTGTTTACCCATTCATCTTAAAACTTGAAGCAAAAACAATTTTGATTGTTTGATCAGGGTCATTTTTTATCCTGAATCCTATGCCACATAAAATCTGAAATCCAACCTTGTATATGGATAGATCTTGAAATTTCGAGTCTAATGACACCAAGATTGTCCAATTCTAACACCGTTAGCCCTTCCATCTTGAGAATCAAAGCTAAACTCGATCCAGGCCTTCCATTTGGAATCCTCTTCACTACAACTTCGAACCTAGAGCATCCCACAACCAGATCCTTCTCCCAGCCTCTACAACCATCTTAAAATTTAAAATCTAAATAGTTAAGAACCTCCAATCAATCAAGCCAATCACTTAAACTTGGAATGTCCAATTTAGGTAAATTGGTGAAAATTTCCACTTATTGTCTTGATTGATTGAGATGATCTCTTCCAAAGCTGTCTTGATAGTCCATTCTCTCAATCCATCTCCCTCAAAAAACCCTTTAAACTTTATCCTTTGATCTCCCTTGTCTCCCCATCTCAGCTCACCATTCCCTTCTAAAAAATTTATAAATACCCCCCTTTCTCACACTTAAGAAAATACACAATCAAGCCTAGAGAGATTACCCTACACTCAGTCTAGACAATAATACCCCCTTACGTCCCAAGCAACTCCAACCATTAGAAAGCCTAGAGAGATTACAACAGCTCCAATCTATTTGTTTCAGTTTTTGATCGGTTTGGTTCATTGCTTTTTTATATTTATAATATATATTATATAAATATATGTATAATATTATATTATAAATAATAAATGACATATAATATATTATAAATATTATAAAAATATATAATATATTTATAAATAGATTATTATAAATATAATATATGTATGTGTATATATTTATATATAATGCATATATATTTATATAATATATAAAAAATATGTGACATATATTAAAAGTATATATAAAACATACATATAAATATATATACCAATTGGTTTAGTTGACCGTCGCTTTTTTTCTAGGTTAACCAAAAATCAAACCAGTCTTTTTCTAGGTTTTTCAAAAATACCAAACCGAAACTAAACCGATCAGTTTAGTTAATTGCATTTTCCAATTCAGTTGGGTTTTTCAGTTTTTTATGGACACCTAGACCTAGATGAAATAGGGACCAACTATCAAATCAACAAAACTAACTATAGAAAAGTAAATATTGTCCAAATATAAATTAACAATAAATGTAAACAACAAAATAATAAAAGTAAAGCAATTAGTGGAGTGGGTGAATTTAATGTAGTAACGTTAGTGCTCAATTTTTATTAGTTGTCTTTGTATCTTGTAGATAAAAAATAATAAAGAGAAATTTGCAAGATCTCAATATTTCAAGTATTGCAATGCAAATAAAGTTAACACAAATAAGATAAATTGCAAACTTAAAAAGAAAAGAAAAAAACACAAATGACACATAAGATTTTTATAGAGGTCCGGCCAACCTTGCCTATGTCATCTACATTTTAAACAAAACACATACTAGGGTGTTTTTTCCCTATTTTTTTATTTTTGATTTTTTATTCCACATCATATTACAAAAACAACCAACCATGCATGAGTGAGTCACCAATTGTTGGCATTCCAACAGTTTGAATTAGAAAAAGGTATTAAACTTTAGCAAGCCTTTATCTAACATCTATTAAAAATTAAGAAATTAATATAACTTAGTAGTTCATAAATTAAAAATTAAAATACATATGAATTCCATTTAAAATAACTAACATTAATGGAAAATTAAATTTAAAAATAAACAGTAAAAATTATTAAAAGTAATAAAAACGAAATCATTTACATTCCATATAAAAACAATAAAAGTAATAATAGATTGAGTGGAAATATTATAAGGCTCATTCTCCTTAGGGATTGAACCTGATCCATCTATATGGATTTATATTGGATTGGATATCAGTCCATTGATAGAAGATAAGACTGAGGGTTTCAATGGACTAGGTTTGGGTTGACACAAGCTGCACTAAAACCAATTTGAATAAATTGGACGGTCCAATAAGACATTGATTTGGACAAGTCCAATCTAAAATATTTATCATACTGGATTGAGCTCGGTTCATTTGTAATGGACTCATGTTAGATGGATTGGATTGGACCAATATCTGGTCCATTGACAGCCCTACCAATATGTAGACCTCACATGATATAAGTTCTAAATGTAACCGGCCCCCACTTGTTGGACAAGTTGGTTCTATGGCCCTGTTCGCTTTTGGTAAGTTATTTATCTAGGTAAATGCAATTACCTGGATAAATTTTTCTTGGGAAATACTTACTCAGGTAAGTGCATTTACCCATGTTCTTTTATTTTCTAGCTAAATAAGGTAATGATCATTTTAGCCATAAAAATCCATTTTTAAAAGGAGCATTTTTGTCCTATTCAAGTGTTAGGAACTTTCCCCCTAGGTGGGAAAATTATTTACCCACCTAGGAACCTAGGTAAGTGGTACTTAGGAAAATAAACTTTCCCTAAAACCCACATAACTCTGAAAAATTAACATAGAATTCTTGATGAATGGAAACCAAAATCCCATTGACCAACTTTCCCCCTTCTTAAAATCCAAAAAAGAAGGCCCCCTATATGTGAACCCAAGCAAAATGTTCTGTAACAAATTTCAGCAATATATGATCTTTAACCATTCACTTTGAAACATTATTTCAATCCTGGATTTACTTAGAGCAATCCAGTAGTGTGACGAGATCAAATCTATTCATTCGGGCTATCATTTCAAGTGTCTTAACCCTAAGTCTACAGCTCAATTAACCACAATATAAATATATACATACTTAACATGCTGACCATGACCCAATTGTAATTTACATTTAAGCGTTAGCCCACTATCAAAATTAATAAGTTTAATGCATCCAGAACTAAATAATTAATTATACATGTGAAATTGTGAACAATGAACCGATTGCAAATAAGTAATATATAAGTAAATACAGTATTAAAATAAATGTATTATACATTTATAGCTATTACATGGAAGTCGGAAACTGACAAATCAAGTCAACTTAAAATGCAATTTATTTATTTTTTAGAAATTTGTAGTATTATTACAATTCAGGTATTGTATTTATTTAAATTAAATTCTAAAAATATATATATATCAATACTGTAAAGCGCGACTGCAATATTTCCTCGAATATCCGGAAAGCAAATTAAAATGACTTTACACCCACCCACGGGACCGCATTTCCTCAAAAAGATTGAATCTTCTAGAGAAGGGCTACCATATTACTGTTCATTAATTATGTAAAGAAGCTTCTTTGGAAAAAGACAAAGCTGAAATAATTGGCAAGTAAACGGCAAAATAAGTAGACCTGTTCATGGGCCGGGTGGCCCGACGGGCCGGCCCAGCCCGGCCCGACCCCCGGACGGGCTTGGACATTTTTATAGGCTCGCGGGCTTAAATTCGGGCCAAAAAGCCCGGCCCGCAATAAATTCGAGCCGGGCTCGGGTTTTGTCAAAATAGCCCGGCCCGACCCAACCTAATATTAAACTTAAAATTATTTATGTGATTATGTCCATTTGAATAATTTTTTT